TGTATTCGGGCATCCTTTACACCAGGAAGGCCCATTACCCCATGCGCCAGCTGTGCAATGCCTGAGGAACAGCTCTTGCCGGGTGTTCGGCACTTCGGCGAACTTCGTTCAAGCCTATAGGCCTGCACATGTTTAGGACTAGCAGATCTAGGGCTTAGGGTTTAGGGGGATTTCGGCGCTGTTCCATTGCCTGACTGAGCTAGTATGTTTATTTTATCTCCTGAGTTTTGGTGGTGCCGGGTTTTGGTTTACGACACCCTAAAGCTGGACATTCCTGGCGCCCAGCCTCAAAAGGTTTCTGAGCCCGATATGTGTTTAGCAACAGGTTCAACCAGTTTGTCAGATGTCGGTTCCCGAAATAGCGCGGCACCCGTATAAGAAGGATCCGAAAGGGGACCCTGATTTAGATAACTGCCCGCCAAGTACCTTTGTAGAGTCCCAATAGGATCCTTTTAAGGAACCCCCAAAGAGACCCTAACTTGCTCTGTATATGGGTTTAGGGCCCTAGACCCTAAACCCCTTCAGCCCATACTTAGAGGATCACGGGGCTTGGTAAGTAGGGTTATAAGGAAAGTAACTATAGTTACTATATCTACTTACAACCCCAATCAAGTTACTTATAACCTTACTTACTAAGTACCCTGATCCCCCAAGTAGATCCTAGACTCTGAACTAAACCCTATAGATCCCTTTAAGGAACCCTAGAGATCCCTTTAAGGGGCCCTTTAAGAACCCTGACTGTAGACAGGGACAAGTTTGGCTCTGATCCGAGCTCCCTGGATGCTGCAGCTCTGGGCGCTGCACTGGCAGCCTCCCGGACTGGTTCAGGGTGTGTAGGAGTTTCCGAAAATAGGGGGTACCTTTAAAGGGATCTATAAGGGTTCCTTTGTAGGGGTTCCTTGAAAGGGTTTAGAGTTTCCGGTACCTTATTTAGGGGGTCCTTCTAATAAGGATCCTACTATTTAGGGTACTATAATTAGGGTGCTCTATTTTCGGAAACTCCCATGACTCCCATGTGGGGGCTTGGGGTTTTGAAGGGATCTATATGGTTTTACAGGATTCCTTCAAAGGGATAAGGGGTCTACATGGGTCTTATAGGATTCATTGAAAGGGGTCTAGGGGTTTGGTTTCGGGTTTAGGGTTGCAGGGCGGGTTTAGGGCTGGGGGGGCTCGTGGAATAGCGTGTAGGCGACAAGATTTTGCATGCGCCACCCAAGAGGGGTGAGCGGGCTATGCCTTGAGTTGATTTTGGGTCTCAGGGTTTAGGGGTTGGGAGTTTAAGGTTGGAGTTTCAAGGCCTCGGAGTACGTTCTGAGATGGATTGTATGGATTTACTTTGGGATGTCGTTGGGTTCTTGTCTGTCGGTGTTTAGTATAGGGGCCTTAATGCTTGGAATAGGGCTTTGGGGCCCATTATATTATAATTATAATGAGGACCGCCGCCCCCCCCATGGTATAGGTAATTAGTTAGGCCTCGACATGAAAAAGGTTTGGAAAGTGTAGCAAGGCCAAAAGAGACGGCGCTCACAAGAGGTTTTCAAAGGCTTCGCTCAGAGAGCCCAATACCCCTTAACTAAGGAATATAGCTTAAAACATAATCTGGAGCCCTTTATTATGTAAGCCATACTCCCCAATTAAGAGATATTGGGCTCTCTGGGTATAGGTTTCTCAGGAGGCATACAGAGTGGCTGTAGGGTTTCGCATGGGGCCTCAGCGGTAGTAGTTGGACTCCGGTTGTGGGCTACGTTGCCCAACCACATGAGGGAGAACTATCGCTTGAGGCAGCATTCGAGCTTCATGCTTTTCTTCATTTTTCAGTTTGAGGTGGCGGCAGGCAACGTGGGCAACACCCTGCAGCATCTTACCATGAGAAGGGCTTTTCAAGAAGGGACAGAGTTCCACTTTTCTCGAGATCATGTTACAACCCCTTGACAGTAGCTCACATGTCAGAAACAGATTCGCGTGAACGTTTGAAGCAACCCGCCCTTGAAGCTAGGTGATGAGCGCCGTAGAGCAGACCATATTCGAGGCTAGAGCTCTTGCTCAGAACTTCAGTGCGGTTTCAGTTTCAGCGATGGGGCTTACGGGTTTAGAGGGTTTTCCATGGTCTTTCAAGGAATTGTCGCAAGCTTGTCAGGCGTTTGGAGTTGGGAACTTTCAGTTGTTGCAGGCTCAGGGGTTCAGGGTTCATGTACTATGAGTGAGTGTATGGTGCGTTTCCATTACTGATGCGATGTCGGTGGTAGTCCCCCGGTTACAGGCATTCCCAGTACAGTTGGTTTGGCTACGCCAGGCTTATATACCTAAGCTCGAAAACTAAGACGAGGGCATGCAGGTGAGAAGTCCGTTTATTTCCTGCCAAGACTCCAGACGCGTTGTACATCTTTTCTAGTGAGGCATTGGGAAAGTTGTCCCAATCACCGCGATGAGTGACAGCCGAATTCTTGGCTGATTGAGGCCGTGCCTGGACTCGAAACCTGTTCAATTAGGCTTTTCTCCAATCGATGGGCGCACCTTTTTTTTGGGCCGCGGCTCCAGAGATGCAACTTGGGTTCAGGTGTTTGTATTTTGGTCGCGTGGCGGGTGCTTTGCATTAGAGACGCAGCCGTGCTTCTCTCGGCTGCGGCAGGTGGCCTCCCGACATAACTTTTACACCGGAGCCCTCAAGCCCAGTCTGCAATCCGTGAACACGAAAGCCCTGCAAACCCTAGCCTTAAACAGCCCTAAACCACGAACCATTTGGTAGCCATAAGCAGGGGGAGGATACTGAGAAGAACCTCCTCCTGACGCAGACGTTGCGGAGTGGTCAAGGCCTCGCCGCGCAGTAGGTCGAAATCGTGGGTTCAGTTCCTGGTAAGAGAAGCCTGTTGTTACACATTAACGTTGTTACTTAACATACAGCAGCACGCACACACACACACACTCTTATTACATATATATATATATATATATACACATGTAATTCATGTAATATATGTGTCCCTGCTAATATTCCGTAGCATCCGCAACCAGAGTGCAGCTTGCATTTTGTTACTGCACAAACCTTGGGCCATGCACGCCACGCAGGAACCAACACCAGCTACGGCTATGTTCAGTTCCGCTTCGATGGCACGTCACCCAGGCTCGACGAGAGCCAATGTTCGGGGCTCCTTACTATAGCAATAGTATAATGGGCTCCAAAGCGCTATTCTGATTATTAAGGTCTCTATACTATGAAGAGGATGTAAGCCTATCAGATGCTTAAGGGTTCCGTTGAGAAGTGGACCACTAACCCTAGACTGGAAGCCAACATCGGCAACCCCCAAGCCCTGAACGCCCTAAACACTGAACACTAAGCCCACCTTCTCAACTCAACGGCAGAATAATTGAACGGGTTTAGTTGTTTGGGTTGTTGGGGTGGTAGGGTATGAGTCACGGTACGAGCATTTAGGTAGGGTTTAGGGTCAGGGTTCTCCTCGAAGTTCAGGGTTTAGGGTTCCGGGTGGGTGATCATGTTTCATGCAGCTGCGGGACGGAACACGAACGTTAAGCCCTACCTCAACCTCAACTGCCCAAATGTTCCTGTAGCTAATGTTGGAGTGGTTTTAATAACCCCCCCCGCCCCCCCCTGAGGTTGTTTTGCGCGGAGGTCTCTTGGGGCAGGGTCTGGGGTCAGGGTGGCAATAGTAAACCTCTGGCCTGCTCCGGGCCTAGTATACTAGTAGTAATAGTAATTAGTAATAATAGTAGTAATAGTAGTAATAGTAGTAATAGTAGTAATAGTAGTAGTAATAGTAGTAATAGTAGTAATAGTAGTAATAGTAGTAATAGTAGTAATAGTAGTAATAGTAGTAATAATAGTAATTAGTACGTGAAGTCTCAACCTCTGGCATTTGCAGCACTCTGGCTTCTGTGCCCTCGGCCTTTCTGCTTTCCTTCTGAACTCCCTCTGACGCCACTGGACTGAAGCAAGGAGTCTGGCCTAGCTGGCGAGGGTTTGTTTCTGTTTAACTAATTAGCCAATGAATATCTGAGGCCATGGCAGCCTCTGATGCGGACATGGCTCTGGCTGGGGAGTCTTGTCTGTGTCTTCTTGTTTTTGGGCTTGGGTTTCTGCGAAAAAGGGTCTGGGTTTTGGTGTCTGGGTGTAATTAACTTCTGCCCTTTTGTTTATCTGAGGCACCATCTGGACCCCTGGGCAATGGCGAGCCTTGGCGATAATCTGCGAGAAAGGGTCTGGGGTTTGGGGTCCTGGGTGCGACTTCTGCTCTTATCTGAGGCACCCTCTGGACCCCTGGGCACTGGCGAGCCTTGGCTTTCTGGGGTTTGGGGTTCTGGGTGCGACTTCTGCTCTTATCTGAGGCACCCTCTGGACCTGCCAACCCTGGCGAGCCTTGGCGAAAATCTGCGACAAAGGGTCTGTGTTTGGGGTTCTGGGTGTGACTTCTGCTCTTATCTGAGGCACCCTCTGGACCTGCCAACCCTGGCGAGACTTGGCTGTAATCTGCGACAAAGGGTCTGTGTTTGGGGTTCTGGGTGTGACTTCTGCTCTTATCTGAGTCACCCTCTGGACCGGGCAACCCTGGCGAGACTTGGCGATAATCTGCTAGAAAGGGTCTGGGGTTTGGGGTTCTGGGTGCGACTTCTGCTCTTATCTGAGGCACCATCTGGAGCCAACAACCCTGGCGACACTTGGCTGTTTCTGCGAGAAAGGGTCTGGGGTTTGGGGTTCTGGGTGACTTGTCTGGCATTTGCAAGAGGGTTTCTGGGGATTTGGGGTCTGGGTTTGACTGCTACTCTTATCCGAGGCACCGTCTGGAGGGCTCACTGCCGATGATCTGATGGAGACTCTGAAGGCACCAAAATGACAGTGCACGTTCGTTTCTGTGTGTGTCTGCATGTGTCTAATAATTAATCTGCCCTGCAGACGCTGGACCGGCAGAGGGGCCCTCTGTCCTTGCTCTGCACAGACCGCGTCCTGGCTCTGCAGACGGAGCTGCTTCGCTACGACGTCTGGCAAGATGGGCGGGGGTGGCTTCACTGCCAACGCGAGCCGCAGGTCTGTGCTGAGCTCTAGGATGAGAGGCGAACTGGAGAGATATCTGGCTGCCTCTGGGTCGCTGAAGCTCTGGGGCCACATCTGCTACCTGTCCGTTCTGGTGACACTGAACGAGGTGCATCTGTCATCAATTAACCATAGCTGTTCTGGAACAACCCATTCTGGACAGGTTCTGTACAGGATTGTCTGTGATGAGATCACGGATGAGGATGTGGCCCGTGTGAACGGGAATGTGGCGTTTGTCTGGGACTCGCAGCTCGGCTAATTAGTTCTGCAGTCTTCATCTGCCGGCATTCCGCTTTGATCTGAGTCTGGACACCTTCATGGCCAAGAAGGTGGATCTGGCGAGGGTTTCTGAGGACTGTGGGGACTGGGCTGTCTGGTTCCAGAGCTGCAACTTAGTTGCACCCAGGCCTTTGTTTTTTGTGTCTGGGGGGGGCGGGTGGCTTGCATCTGCATACCGAGATCTGTCGGACTGCAAGAACCACCAGCTCTATATCCGTGATCTGGCATTCTTCTATGCCACCCAGGGCTCTGGTGGAGCCGCATCTGGGCCCAACTCTGGACAGATCTGGGAGAAGATCTGCAAGAAGGCCTTCCCATCGTCTGCTTAATTAATTAAACCCTGAGCCCCTAACCCTGAAACCCTAAACCCTGAAACCCTGGAGCCCTAAACCCTTGCAGGTCTACTTCCCGTCTGACTACATGCGCCCGTTGCTTGGCCTAGAAGGGTTTAGGTTTTTGGGTCTGGGGTTTAGGGGTTAATGAGGGGTTTGGGCCTCTGCTCTGGGATTCCTACCTAGGCTCTGGCCGAATCTGGTGCCCAGCTCTGGACTTCGCATGCCAGGTGCCTGAAGGTGGGGTTTGGGGTTGGGGTTGGGGGTTGGTGGTTCGGGCTTCTGCTCCTGCTGGCAGGAGCTTCTGATGCAGCAGATTCTGTGGCTTTGGCTGGTGTATCCGGTCATCTGGCCGAGGCCAGATCTGAATCGCCCTCTGGTGCACACCAACCCCAGTCTAATTAGGGTTCTGGAAGCCCAGGATCTGCTGCAGATCTGGAAGGATCTGGATCTATCTGTACAAGGAGGGGTTAGGGTTTGGGGTTCAGGGTTTCAGGGTTTGGGATTTAGGGTTCAGGGTTTGGGGTTAAGGGTTTCAGAGTCTGGGGTTAAGGGTTTCAGAGTCTGGGGTTAAAGGTTTCAGGGTTTGGGGTTAAGGGTTTCAGAGTTTGGGGTTTAGGGTTCAGGGTTTGGGGTTAAGGGTTTCAGAGTTTGGGGTTAAGGGTTTCAGGGTTTGGGGTTAAGGGTTTCAGGGGTTACGGGTTTCAGAGTTTGGGGTTTTGTGTAATTAAGGTTTCAGGGTTTGGGGTTAAGGGTTTCAGGGTTTGGGGTTAAGGGCTTGGAGTTATATAATTCATTATTTAAGGGCTTGGGGTGAAGGGTTTAACTACATAATATAGCAATATTTATTAATAATTAGTATTAATAACTCTAAGAATAACAACGAGAACAAGGATAATAAGAACAATAAATCATTATTATGTAATAAGTAATTAATTAATTAATAAAGCTAGCAACAACAATAAGGATAGCAACAACAATAAGAAATAAAAGCCTAATTATACATAATTAGTACTTGGAAACCACCACCGCCACCACCACCACCACCGCCACCACCACCACCACCACCACCACCACCGCCACCACCACCACCACCACCACCACCACCACCACCACCACCACCACCACCACTTATTAATTAATTAATTAATTAATTGGCTCTGTGCAGGAGCCGATCTGAGCAAACGTGGAGTCTGGCGCCAGAGCTCTGGAGCTTTTCTGGTTTCCAGCCACCCCGAACAAAGCTCAAAACCCTAACCCCCGAACCCCGTAATTAATTAATTAACCCCAGAAAACCCTTGTACCCTAAACCCTAGTCCCTCTAAAACCCTAAACCCTTTAAACCTTTAACTCTGACTTAGGCTTTAATCACATAGGGCACGTTTATAAAGGTCCTAGGGTTGGAAATATGTAATTAATTAAATAATTAGGGGTTCTGTTGTTTCTGTAATTAAGCTCTGGAAGCTCTGGCCGTGGGCTCTGTTTTTTTGCAGACGCACCGTGACCTCTGTCGCAGAGGAAGGAAAAAATCTGGACGCACTGTGTCTGTCTTGGTTTCTCTCTTTCTAGAAGCAGCCCCTGTCTGATTGCAACATGTAAGTACTTGAGTAACTTCTGCTCAAGCTCTCTGGTCGCTTCTCTTCGGCAAGATGGGCAAGTCTGGGGTGCTCAAGAAGCCGTCTGCCTCCGCTGTGGTCAAGAAGCCGTCTCTGAAGCAAGACCCCAACGACGATCTGGCACCTGCCGTGCCTGAGCCGCTGCAGCGACTGAAAGCTCTGTCTGAAGCCTCTGAGAAGACTGTGCCTCCGTCCGAGGAGGCATCTCTGTATGCACCGGATTGTTTCCTGCATCTCTGGGATACTCTGAGTTCTGAACAGAAGGAGTATCTTCGCAAAGCCTCTGAGGTTTTGAAGGCTCTGAAGTGAGCCGCAGAACAGATCTCGCAGGAGTTTTTGAAAAAGAGTCTGACCTCGCATTGCACACGTTCTGGAAGTGTTGTTGCTCTGCAAGCACCGGTTGCAGCCGAGCTTCTTGTTCTCTCTGATTCCCGATTGGATCGAGCTCTGTGTCAGTTCTGTAGGTCCTCTGAACACTGACATGGTGTCCTCTGCGGTGGTCTCTGCCTACGTGGCGGTCTGTGCTCTGGGCAAAGCCTTTCTGCGAAAGCAGCCGGAGATTCTGACCTTGCTTGGTCTGTTCCTCGGCTTGGATCGAGCGGATCTGTTCTTCTGCTTGGCATCTGGTGAGCAGATCAGCCTCATCTGGAACGGTGCCGTCAGTCTGCGCTGGACTCTGAATGGCTGGCTGGTGAGGCGACGGGATCTGTCTGTTGGAGATCATCTCTGGCTTTGCTGGAAGAACCCTCCACAAGGACACGCTCTGACAGAGCGAGATCTGGGGGATCTAGGGTTCTCTGAGGAGGAAACCTCTGATCCCAACGGCGAATCTGCTGCCGAAGCCTCTGGCGAAGGTGCCGAGGTCTGGGAGATTCTGAATCTGTCGCCTGCTCCCAGGTCTTCCCGAGATCTGGAGTGATGATCTGCTTCGCAGTGAAGAGTGAAAACATTCCGAGCATCTGTTCTGCAAGGTTCTGCTTTGCCTGCATTGTCTGAGAAGAGCCTAGGAAGAAGCTTTCTGATTGTCCATGCATCTGCAGGCATGCCATTTTGGCTTTGCTAGTAGATCTGCCCAGCAATGTCTGTGGCGATCTCCTCTGATGAGGAAGATGGCGGCGGTGGTGTGGCCGCTTCTTCTGCTGCTCTGGTGTCCAGCGAGGACGTGTCTGAGCAGCTTGTGGCAGCTTCTGAAGGAAGCTTGTCGGAGCAAGCTCTGGCGACTGCAGAGAGTTCTACCTCACAGCCTTCTTCAGGCGAGCTGCTTCTGTCATTCCATGTTGCTTCTGGCAAAGACTGATTATTTAATTCGTTCTGAAGTTTAGCTGCTGCAGTTCCTGGAATCCGGAGTCCCTGGCTTCTTGCCAAAGCCAGCAGCTCTCGAATACCAAAGCCTCTGGCTTCTTGTCCAAAGCCACTGGCTTCATAGCTTTCCCAAAAGCAAGGCTTGACATCGGGAGCCCCTCCCCCGGATGAGTTTATTATTGCCACCCCTTTTATAATTGCCAAAAGAAGGGCTGCAAAGGGTTACCCTTGCCGGCTTTGTGAAATGGCTCCGTTTATATAGAATTGGAATAAGGAACCGACCTCAAGTTTAGCTGCTGCAGTTCCTGGAATCCGGAGTCCCTGGCTTCTTGCCAAAGCCAGCAGCTCTCGAATACCAAAGCCCCTGGCTTCTTGTCCAAAGCCACTGGCTTCATAGCTTCCCCAAAAGCAAGGCTTCCCATCGGGAGCCCCTCCCCCGGATGAGTTTATTATTGCCACCCCTTTTATAATTGCCAAAAGAAGGGCTGCAAAGGGTTACCCTTGCCGGCTTTGTGAAATGGCTCCGTTTATATAGAATTGGAATAAGGAACCGACCTCAAGTTTAGCTGCTGCAGTTCCTGGAATCCGGAGTCCCTGGCTTCTTGCCAAAGCCTGCAGCTCTCGAATACCAAAGCCTCTGGCTTCTTGTCCAAAGCCACTGGCTTCATAGCTTTCCCAAAAGCAAGGCTTCCCATCGGGAGCCCCTCCCCCGGATGAGTTTATTATTGCCACCCCTTTTATAATTGCCAAAAGAAGGGCTGCAAAGGGTTACCCTTGCCGGCTTTGTGAAATGGCTCCGTTTATATAGAATTGGAATAAGGAACCGACCTCAAGTTTAGCTGCTGCAGTTCCTGGAATCCGGAGTCCCTGGCTTCTTGCCAAAGCCTGCAGCTCTCGAATACCAAAGCCTCTGGCTTCTTGTCCAAAGCCACTGGCTTCATAGCTTTCCCAAAAGCAAGGCTTCCCATCGGGAGCCCCTCCCCCGGATGAGTTTATTATTGCCACCCCTTTTATAATTGCCAAAAGAAGGGCTGCAAAGGGTTACCCTTGCCGGCTTTGTGAAATGGCTCCGTTTATATAGAATTGGAATAAGGAACCGACCTCAAGTTTAGCTGCTGCAGTTCCTGGAATTGGGAGTCCCTGGCTTCTTACCAAAGCCAGCAGCTCTCGAATACCACAGCCTCTGTCTTTTTACTAGCATCAAGTCTTTGCCAGTTGACATAATTATAGATATGTCCTGATCTGTTTTCATGCAAGTAACAAGCGGTCTTGTTTCTTTAGTCAACCGCAGCAGGTTCTGGAAAGCAGAAGAGACTGCTGCACTTCTGGAAGCCCGAGCACCCTCTAGCAGAGAAGCCTCCTCTGGAGAAGGAAGCTCAGCCCAAGGGCAGGCCACTGTCCGCTGCCATGAAGCAAATTCTGGCAGAAGTGGCTCGAGAGTCTGTTGTAGAACAGACTGGCGAAGAAGCTCGTCTGGAACTTCAGCGACGCTACGCGAACAAGAAGAACGCTGGTAGGCCAAAGAAGCTTCCTGGAGCTCCTTCGAAGAAGCGCTCTGCAGAGATGCCTCTGGCAGTGCAAGCCGGTGTTCTGAAGCGGATGAAGACAGAAGTGTCTGGTTTTGCTTCTGACAACGACTTCACTGGAGCCATGAGCCAGCAACTGGGTTTGGACAAGAAGTCTGTGAGGAAGCTCTGGGCCAGAAGAGACAAGGTTCTGAAGGAGCAGTC